CCTCAAACCAAAATAGATAATTTCAGATAAGGATACGTATCTACTTATCACTATAGTGTTTAGTTAGTATTTTCTATTAAATCGTCTCAAACAATCATCATTATAGTTAACAATAGTAGTATTAGTATTCTTTCTATTTCATTTTACAGTCAGCTATTGAATAAACTGATCTTTTCATCCTATGCGGCTGACATTTATGCAATCATGAAAATTTACTGAAATTTTGCAAATCATCTGGAATTAATTAACACCCTGTTGGGCGAATATTCGACTTACAGCTGATTACTGTCCTATCTCTTATTTTGTCTTTTAGGTTAATTTCAAAATAATGGCAATTCCTACATATTCAATACATTTATCACCATTATTTACTTGTTGAGAATAAAATCTATTTTAATACGAATAGACTTGTAAGGTATTGATGCCAATGCATGAATTAAAAATGTATTTCTATGATTTTCGATCCAATTGTTGGGTTCACTTTATTTCTTGAAGTGACCTAACTGAATTAGGTCAGTCGAAAGCTGTCGTTTTCAATGAATTATCTAGGCTGAATTGATATTTTATTTATTTATCTATTATTGCGCAATAGTAATTATCACTTAGAAGTCGTTAAATTGACCCGGTATATTGGTTTTACTATAAAAAATGACTCTGCAAATAAATCACGAACAACGGAACGTAATGCAAATCATCATTTATCACTATTTATAAGATACAGTAAAATGTACAAGTGTTCTTCATTCTCTTATACACGGGATGTTGTACATAAGATGACATAAATTAATCAATCGGTTCCTGTCAAATGAAATTATTATATAAATATCAGTAACTTTACTTCATTTCTCTACTTCATCGCTCAACTTTTTTCTTCGTAATAAAAACTAATCCATTTAACAAATCTTCTATTGATCGAGTTTTATTAAATAATCAAAATGTTGTTTGTAAGCTGTTCGATACGTTAATGACAATTCTCAAGGAATATGAGACATTGACAAGTTTGGTTTTTTACAAATTCACTTTCTTTCTTCTGAACTCTACAGCTTCCTGTCCATTCATAGATGACATGGAATTGATTTTAATTAATTAACTGTCAATCGATCATCTAGTCAAAAGTTATAGTTAAAATAAGCTTTTATGTTTTCATATCAATTAACAATAGAATTTTTAAAAGTGTTTTCATTTGTTGACAAAGTAAGATTAATTGAATTTCGTATACATCAGATTTTGTTCATCAGTCAGAAAATTAATGGCACTGTCTGAAATGAGTAGTCTTATTAGTAGTATAGGTTTTTTTTAAAAAAACCTTAATATCTTTTCGAATAAATCTTTTTTATTATTATAAATCCAAAAACTCCAAACCTTAAATAATTATTATCATTTTATCTAGTTGTTGAATGAGATAATGACGGTTTCAATAAACTTTCGTCTTGTTTCACACTCTATTGTATTATTTTGCGAATAGTCCTTTAATGATTTCAAAAAAATATATACTGAACATGATACCATGGAAATTATACCAGTGAATAGTTTTTGCCATAAACATTTATTTCAAACTTTACTGCATTTCCAATATGTTCTACACATTATTCTGCGTTAAATAAACTCAAGAATTACCAACTTGATAATTTCTATAATATTCTGTAACCAGTAAATAGTTCCTGATAAGTAGCTTGAGATTTTGTGAGTGTCAACTGTGAAGTATTTTTTCTATGATGTTTTTCATCCGAATGAAACACTTTAGTTGTTTGTTCATAGAGAAAAAGTACTAGCTCTGTTGTGTGGGATAATATAGAGAAAAAGTGTTAGTGAGGAAATGTTGAAATGCACGACAGAGTAGATAATTTTTAAAAACCTTATATTTACTTAAAAAGATGTCAATCAGTTAGGATACAAATCACCATAAGGGACTAATCTAACACATGAAAAAACAAGTATACAGTTAGACATGACAATGAAAAATGGCCTTTCAGGACGGATAAATAATTTAGCATATTGAGACCATATTTAGGTGTCCACATGAAACGACCCGTGATAATCTTGTTCAAGATGACAACAATTCAACAACCTAGCTTTAGAAAAGCTACACTAACAAGTACATTCACTCAAAACCCTAAGTGAATAATAGGCTATCCGGAAGCCTAATTTTTATCACCAATATTATGGGGAACATTTTAAATCTTGGAAAAAAAGATTTATTTCTCTGTAAAATTTGTTTTTCTTCAAGTTTTTCAACCACTTTTATTTTTATTTTTAAATATTAACGTAACTGTAAATAAATGACTAATTATCATAAACATCAACAAAATAAGATGTCAAAAACATTTCACAACTGGAAGGTGTAAATATCATAAATCAAAAATAAGGATTAGAGGTGAATTTCGATGTAAAATTAAATATTGAAAACTCGTTATTGTCATATGTTTAATCACAGCCTATGATTGAGTAAATTTGTTACATGTTCAATTAATATATGCTATACAATTAAACAATCTGTGACTCAAACTCGCTACGTTGTTTTTGTTTTTAGAAAAATCTGCTCCATTAACAGCCTACAAACCAAATGGCCCATGATTTAGGCAGCTTCAGTATCATTCAAATCAATCTTATTCACCATATATTTATTTTAAGCCTACTACATTTGACTAGTCAGCTAGCTGCACTTCACATACGTTTGCTATCTATGTCACTGATTGATATGAAGGTTTATTTTCTTCCTTAAAAAACATAAGACTAAACTTTCTATGAGCCAAAAGGTCAACTTAAAGTACTTATAATACAATTTGAATTATCTCAGTGAGTAGAGATTTCAATTTTTTCTACATTTTATATCCTAATGTAATCCACTGCTTCAGAGCAAATAAATAAATGATTGAATCAAATGAATTTATTTTTAATTAATATAATGAAACAAGTCAGTTTGTTTAATTTCGTCATAATCAGAATAGGTTTGATTGAGTAAATCCCATGTGTTTTTCGTTCAAGTTGATCTCGTGTTAGACAACACAGTATGAAATCAACATATTTTGTGACAGAAAAGGATATACAGAGGCATTTAAAACTCTAGTAGAAAAACTAGAAGTGTCAAAGGTGAGTTATTGATTGATTAACTTTATCATATGCTGAGTTCCACTCAAAAAACATGAGAATAGCATTTTCTAATCATACTCGTCTTTGCCGCCAAATGTTTGTAGAATTTATTCATGAATAATTTTTGTATAAAATCATTTTTATCGTATTTTGTAATCATGTACTTGACCCAGTTATTATTCAATAATGACTATTATTTTTAAATCCGATATTTACGTAGGTGTTAAAATCACCGAGTCGGTGATAGTTTGGATAAAATTTTATTTTTAAAGTAAACAATGGCAAAGAAAAGCTAATAAATCACCATCTGCTAGATGATAGTAGTTTCAATAAACTTAAACAAATTAATCCCAAAAAAAGTCTACAGGATTTTAGAATGTTCAAATTTTATGAACGGAAATTGTCAAAAGCGTATTAAGAGTTATGCTTATCAAATGAGATTGACTTAGATTTAGAAAAAAAATTTGCTTGAAAGTTAATTGAAGAAAAAAAAGTATGTTCTTCTCTTCGCGCAAAACGACTCATATCAAAATAACAATGCTTTAATGAAATTCTGATTGGTACATGATTATCATTGAAGTTCGTGTGGAATACATCTTTTGATAAAATAAACCATAGAAAATGAGAAATACTAAGTGAACTATATCGAAACTTAATGGTTGTGCTCTTTTTGTTGATAACTAATACAGAAAAATAAGATGTTTTCTAAAAACATTTTAATATAAATAATCGAATTACATTATTACACATTTCTATCATGTAATTTTATGGAAAATATTACACTATAACACTATCAATATAATTTTGTTACTATTTAGTCCAATGACATTTTAACCCGCTCTAATTGCAACAAATACTTGGAATGTAAAGAAAACTTGGACCAGTCGTTTAGAAATATGGAAATATTTATTTCTAGAGCAAAACTGACAAGTGTCTACAAAGATCCATTTAGTCTATTCAAAATTAAGAACTATAACAAAATGAATATTCGGATGCTTCAGCACGTCATTGTAATATAATGATAGCAATCGATTATGGATATACACTTGATATGCTCGTCAATTGATTTGCTTGAAACTATTACTAGTTCACCTTAGCCGGTAAACGAGAGCGAAGACAAATGATGCAGTGACACGGTAGGCTATTCTAGTAAGTTTTCACTGACCCTGCTAATTATACATAGAAGTCTTTATAAGGCGTAGAAAGTGTATTCTACAAGCACCCGGAAAATATGAGGTTGAAAAGCACACAAATTGAGTTTGTGTGAGAGCCACAAAAATAGCGTACTAAAATAACAAATCAACCAGTAGCAGTCAAGGTTTTTCCGAGTGGGAAATGTAATCTCAAGGTCAAATGATCAGCCCGAGCGCGAAAACAAAGAATCCAAAATTAGGACCTTTATCAAGTGAGTTCTTGAGGAACAAACGTCATTTATAACACTAAGTTAGAAACTCTCGATTCACCTATATCATTGTTTCTTCTTAAAGACGAAATTTAGACTTTTTTCTATGATAAGATTATGAAAAGTACCGTCGAAAGTACACTATCGAAAATTCTCAATTCTCAAAACAATGAACAAAAGTTCAGATGAACAGATCTTTTATTTTTTAATTTTTATTTTTAGAGTTTGATATGTACAGTTATGTAATATTCAAACGAGGTGTAACTCATGAAGAAAAAAAGAAAACATTTATACCTTACTGCTCTTGTCTTATCATCAGGAGCATACACATAATACATGTTGTTTCAATGAAGATTTATGATCAAAACACAAAAAAATAATGTAAAGTAAATTATGTCAAGTGGAATATTTGATATGTGTGTATCAATATAACTGTATACTAAGTAGAATGATATTGAATATTGATCTCTGTTTACTAATTATATGATAAATAAATTCATAATCTATGTTATGGAACGCGACCAAGTGCTAGCTTGATTGGAGTATCACCGAAATGTTTCAATTGATTCAATCCATACTGCTGACGTCGTTCACGATTGTAATGCCAAGCACATAACAGTTTTGCACAGGACATTCGAATATTATTATTTAATAATGAATAAACCAGAGAATTTAGACAGGCATTGAAATAACCAAGCCATGTTGCAGCAAAGATTGCTTCTTCTATAAGGGAAAACAAAAATATAAAGAAGTGTTTTAAAGATTTGTTAGGGTAATGTTCAATGAAATTCATAATATTACACAAAAAATTGCCCAAGTTGATGAGTTTTAAGTTAATCTTGTTGAAGAAAGAATCGTTGTGAAATAGGTTTCAAAAATCATCACTATTAAGTAAAGTTTCTTGACACATGATTTCGGATGATTCGTGTTTATATTTAAATAAGAGTGGAGTTCCCTTCTTTCAAATAAATAAACTTGAAAACGTTCAACTAATATATGGTCTTCGTGTTTGACTATTCACTAATTTTCAGTGTAATAAATTTACTTTTGTTGTGTTTAAAAAATAACACCACAGATTTATCACACGTTAATCTTAAATGTTACGTATAACCTCATTTATTTTTCTGATTTGTCTTAAAAACAATTTATTATCTTAGGTGATTTCACCTGTTTTTTTCTATCTTATTTGTCATAAATTTGAACTTTTAGTCTAATCGGATTTCAAACACGATTTTCACGAGTTAATATTAGTTTATATTTGAATGAAAAAGAAATAGCATGAAACAGGTGTCTAGTTCTAAGTTAGAACCTGGAGACGATATATATATATATATATCATTGATTTCATGAAAAATTACGGTAGAGCTGTGTATCACGAAATAGTGATGAAAATACCTAGACATTTAGATGAAATTTAACTGTCTGAAATTTTCTATTTCATTTCACGTGAAATATAGCGGGGTATCACACAAATTCCTTGTTCATCTTTAGTCATTATTTAACTATCAAAAAGATTCCCAGAGATTTCACTGACTGCCTAATTAGTGCTGTTTATTTGGTTTTACTAACTAAGAATATTATTTAGTAACTTCTGACATCTTTGAACTCTTATCATTCATTAAGATTTTCAAATCTTTCAAATTCATAAAAATTTGAATAGAGTATTGTTAGCTTTAATAAATACAATTTAGTGAATACATTCATGAACAGTTTATCATTACGATTATCGATTTGACGTAAATATATTTTACTGACTTGTCAAAATGTACTATTTTACAACTTTTAAAGTTTTGCTAACTACTGGCCCACAGTTATTTTGCTTTTATTATTGTTTTTGACATAATCTCAAGAGAAAATTATGTTATTATTCACTAATTATTCAGTTGTAATTAATGACTACAAAATAAATGATAAATTTCTCATTTTGTTGCCTGTTTTGAAAGAACTGTACTAATTAGAGAGTTTCTTGATAGACGTGGATGGTTAATGGGCTTTTTTGATTTTAACTTTCAATGGCTGACGATATGATTATTATTTAGATGAACAACTGAATATATCATGAACATAAATCTTACGTTTAACTTTGTACATGACACATAGAATAAACTCAGTTTGTGTAAAAAACGTAATAAGAAGCCAAATGCGGATTCAGTTGGATGAATTAATCTCTCGTAATCCGTTCATGCGGGAGCAGGGAAACAAAGCGAAGAGGAGAAGCGAATTGGAGAAGACGAATCTATCAATTCAGTTTGATGAGCCGTGACTAACTATTTATATTCAGACAAAAATTAACTAAGATCATGTGATGAACAGAGTAAGTGATGCGCACAGAAGCTCAAATAAAAACGATCAAGATTATAAGCGAATAACTGACAAGGTCAAAAATTGTGAGGATAATGACTTGAGAAGGATAAGCTAATCTATCTGTTAAAAAGGTAGAACGACTAGTTTAGCCATAACATTGTAGTACACACTACAAACTAACAACCTATAATCTTTAACTGTTATTTGCTATCTATTAAATATACTGGGACATATCGAAACTTTATTTCATCTGTAGAAAATTGACACTTCAAAGCAGCAACAGATTAATTTCTAATGGAATCGAGCATTATTTGCGATAACTTCTTTCGTTTCTCTATTTGATCAAACTCTCATAAATAAATTGATTTTTGGGAGGAAATTCGGTATAAAATTAAAATTCCATCTGATAAAAATTCTAAGCTGTCAATTCAATTGTATAAGCAAAAATAAAAACCCAGATATTTAATATCATGCTTATCAAATACACATTCCCATATTTTTGATTAAAACATAACTGCTGAGTTCCTACCATGCTCAGTTAGAAAGTAACACTTGATAACACAGTCAGCTAACGATTCGGAGTGTTTGCATTCGAATTATTAGACCACTGTAATAAATGTTTACAGAAGCTTGTGAACACTTGTGTGCTGCTTTAATCGAAGTATTTGATCAAACAGCTTTAGATTATGGTTGAAGACGGTATTTTCACATTATTAAGTTAGATTGATGTATTTTAAGGTGAGTTGAATATAAATAAATAATGTAACTTTAACATTATTTTGACAATCTGTGATACAATGCGCTCATTCCAAAATATGAGTACATTACATCCATTCTAATTAGAATATCTACAGTATTATTTATATGAATTCAAGATCATAAATGTCTTAATCAGACGGTCTTACGTATGAGTGAATAATTTGAGTATTTGGAAACCGGGAACGATATCCAAAGTATTATATCGAATCATAGAAATTGGGGACGTGAGTTCAAACCAATAAAAAACCCCTTCGTGGAACAAAGCAGTCTCCTGATATGAAGTGGTATTCAACAGTTGTTTAGCTAAGATCATGCAGTATTGTAAACTAAGAAAGCCATTATATTAACTATATATATATATATTCAGTACTATATGTAAATACAATACTGACAGTTTTATGCATGGCGCAATACTACTAGGCGATAGGAAATTGAATGGACTGAATTAATTTGAGATGTTTTCGCTGTATTCAGTACTTTCTAAGGGTTAAGTTCTTTTCTAAAGACTGAAAAGATTAGACACGTAAACATCAACATAAATAAACAATAATGTTATTTGTCAATATTAGTAAAAGAGAAAAGCTACTAATTTACAACTTTTTACTAGGACAGCAAATAACAAGATTTCTCTGGTTAGTTACGAGAAAATAAACAACTACGTTGGTAAAAGATATCATAAAATAAATTCCAGAAGTACGTTTTCAGTCTAACTTTGGTTGGTGTGTATATATATATAATGTTTTTAGTGTTAATCTTGAAGTGACTGAGCTGGAATCCTCATTGCTTGACGTTTAGTTCTGTGATATTAATAAAATAGATATGAAAATCTAGTTTAAAACCTTGCGTACGAAAATACAAGGATTAGAATTGTGATTAAATTGTGATATGGAAAGTTCTAAATCAAGAAAAAGCGCTGGAAGTGGGTGGGAGACATCCAACTGTTTCATAAAACAAGCTCCAACTTGCAATCCTCAGGGCCAAAGGAAAAGAGGAAGACCGAAGAACACATTACACCGAGAAATCTAAGCAGGCATGGAAAGAATGAAGAGCAACTGGTCAGACCTATGAGGGAAGTCCCACGACTATTCTTTAAGGAATCGTAAATTTTATGTGTGAGACATGTACTGAAAAGAAAATAAGGTTAGTTATTCTTACTGCCACATTAAAATGATCTTCAGGTGCGCAAAGAAAGTGTATATCGAAGTTAACAATAAATTTTGAAACCAATCAAATGGATTTGCAATAGGGTCTTCGGAGAATTATTTCGAATAAAACTAGAGAACTATCCATTAGCGATTGGAATAAAACAGCTTACAGTTTACTGTCTTGACACTATCAGCAAATTTATGGTAGTTTAAAATGCAATGATCGAGCTCAATCTGCGCGTAAAAGAGTTCATTTATTATTTACCTTCCTATAAAGAGCAATATGTAATGACGACCGCCCATTATTTTAACGTTTTATTAACAAAAAGAAATAGAACAAAACAATAAAAAGAAGCATATAATGAAAAATCAACATCATTTAGACAATGCACTTCTAAAATTAAATCTAGAAATCAGTCACTAGTGAGAACAGGGCTGCCATTAGTATTCAGAGATTGTTAAAATTTAGTAAAAATACTTGAATTTGTAAGATTGGCGAATATGCCACTGGCTGATTACTATATATTGTTATTAGTATATATATATATATATATATATATATATATATATATATATATATATATATATATATATATATATATATATATATATATATATATATATATATATAATTACAGAGCCATGAAAACAAAATAACAGGAGAAATATTTCTTTGCTCTATTCATTTCTTTTTCTAATTGCAATCTACTCAAAATTGAATGAACTATAGTTAATGCTTTTATAATTTTCAGCAATACAGATGAAAGTAACATAATATGTTTGAAGTGAATAGGAATTAAAAATGATTAATTGATAAAATCATCGGTAAGTTGAAATTTAAGAGTTAAATTGATTTATTTTCGTATAACTAATAATTAAAAACTGAATTGGATAAGGCTACAAAAAATCAAAGTGAAAGTCCATTGTCTTCGTAAAAAAAAGAAATGAAACTATGAAATTCAGCTGTTGGTATGAACTGAAAGGTGCTTTAAAGTTGACATCAGATACAACAGTACTAAAGAATTAGGCATCAGATTTTGTCACTAGTCTATACTCACAATTCCACGCATGATCAAATAAAAGACAATCAGGATTTACAGTGAACACGGAAAAAATGATGTTAATAATTTGGAATCTAGTAATTACTAAGTGTTTTGATAATATATACAGCAAATATCACTCGTAAGCACATCATGTACACCCTTAATTCACTAAAACACAATTTTTAATTAAAAGTGTTGTTCAATGAGGAACTCTACCAGAACTATGTGTTATAATGCAACTCCAGCTCCTCATTTTTATAATATTACTGCCAAAATCCAATTAAACTAAAGAAGCCAAATGTATCGATTTATGGGTTTATGCAAGACATTAGTTAAGTATGATCTAATTTTATTTTCACATAACAAAAAAAGATTACATACATGCAAGGAATTGCAAAGCTTTTGAAACCATGCGATTAGTTAGAATATTGATATATCTTCAGTCTGTTTTGACCACAGCAATATTAATGAC